TCCACACTAAATCAGCATTTAGTTGAAACTGATCAGAAAAAACAGGAAATACTACAAGTTTTGATGTTCAAACTCAAAGCTGGTGTTGCTAGACAGCAAAGCTCACAACCATCATGTGAAACAGAGTAGAAATAGTTTCCGGAAATCCATGTATACTAAGACAGTTTCATGTATCTGGTCCTTTTTCTTTAATACCTAAGTTAGTCAGAATGTACTCATTTGCTCTATTTTACTTTATCCTCAGCTTCATTTGTCTGACCATTGGAAAGTTGCTTTAGGAAATTCTGAAAGTTACTTGCCAGGACCATACTTTGCTTATAGGACTACGTGGCCTGAACAGTAGTAGTTCAGACTAACTTGGAGCATTGCAATACAGGCTTCTACTATCATAAGGGATGAGGGGTGTGTTAGTGTCCTTACCCCTGCCTAGTCCCCATTTCTGCACTGGTAATAAAACAGGGTGGGTAAAATTTTGAAATGTGGGGGAAAACAATTGTAAGGTGGTTCTTGTAACAGAAGGAAGAGCTAGCTACTCATGGTAGAGGAACAAAGTCTTGTTTTCTTGACTTTTGCTTTGAAATGGTATAGGTGGGAATATCAAATGAGGGTCAGTCCTTGTGGATATCTTGATGATTCTGTCTTTTCTTTCAGCCTTTGTACTTTATGACATTTTCAAGAAAGAAATCTGTCTTGGGTTTCTGCAAATTTCGGAGGCATTTCCATAAATTACTTGTGCTATGTCCTCTGAATACCAAATTCAAACATGTTGCAGAATTGAGTAGAAATTGGTCAAAGAAACAAAAAAGTCACCGTTTTTTTGACGGTCAGAAGCTGCAGATCCTCAGCCTAACTGGTAGCCATGGCTTACTAGGATGTGTACGTGACTGTCAGGATTGCAAGTTGTTTACTTGGTGGCTGGGAGTGAAGGGGCTTGCAGAGTGAGAATTAGATGTAATTGCACAAACAGAAGTCTGGAGGGAGAAGACAGCTTTTCAGTATGTAACTCTGGAAAACTGGAAAGTATAGAGAAGTAATTATCTCAGAATCTATTAATAACTTTTTTCCTTAAGAACTGGCTTGAAAAAAAGATGTGTTTCTACCACAAATACTAATACATAATTTTATCTATTTTGTAATAAAATCTGTATCAGATATTAAATAATATTTTAAATTAGAATGTGCCACTGCTTTTAAATCTGCTCTCTTTATTCTGACTGAATCAAAAGCTCTTTGGGAAACTCCTATCTGGTTTTAGACTTACTCTCGCTGTGAAAAGAGTTTTGCTTTAGGGGAACGTTTTTAGAAGAAGGTAGGCATGTTAAAGCTCTAGATACAATGAACATGAAATCACGTCACACAGCGATGATATTGAGTTCAACTTTTTCTTCATCAGAGATATTTTTCTAAAAGGCTTTAGACTGTCCTGAGTCTATTCTAAAGCTTGTTTCCATCATGAATTATTAACAGCCACTTTGAACTTTGCATCATTGATTGTGAGTTGAGGGTTGAGTACCCACTGTACAGGATTTGACATACAGATAGATTATACTGATCTAACATTAAATTGGTGAATAGTTTTGGATGGAACTACAGATAGCCAATGCCTTCAGTAGACTTCTTCAGGCCCATTCAGGAGTGAGTCTGTCATTTTCACAAATCAAATAATTTCATAGATGAAAGTAAATTTTTGAGTGATCTTACTACTTTTATGCTATTTTATTTTTTTTTCCTAAAGAGCTAGTGACAGAATGACAATAAAAGTTAAGGCTGCTTAAGTCTTTAATCTGTGTAGTGCCCAGGTAAAAAAAAATTAGTTAGAATGTAAACAATTGCAGCAGTCACTGCCTGCTTCAAGATTTTTTTTTTAAATTTCTCCCTTAAGCACTGAATGTCTGAACTAACTACTGTAGACGTACACTGCAAAGTGACTAGAAATTTTGTGAGGCAATCAAGCCATTTGTCATAAGATTCCTAATTACTGAGAGTTCAAGTTATTAAATACACAGATGCAAATTTAAAGAACATCCAGAATGAACACAGATATCCACAGTCAAGACTTGAAGGACAGACATTGCTTTTTAAATATACATTTCAAATCTGATAATGAATAAATAAATAAATAAAAGTTCATAGCGTGGTGGTTTAGAGCTTTCAGACTGCTTCTCAAGACTTAGGTAGATATTTAAGGAATTAACCATTTTCATTATTTTATCTTTTCTATTCAAGTAAGGGTACTTTAGAAGACTGAAAAAATAAAGAAAATGTATTCTGGACTTCAGATGAGATGAAGTTGGACTATGACTTCAGTTTCCCGTAGCATTCTGTGATGAGCTGTATAGATTTGCTGCTTAAGATGCAAGACATGCACATGGTACTTGATTCTAGCTAAGATCTGGAATTCAAATACATTTGTTTCTGTGTTCCAAATGAGACAGTGACTTTCCTAACTGTCATAAGCATTCTTTAAAGCTAATTCTGATCTGACTGTTTCTGCCTCATATTCTCTGATCTGCTTTTGAAAGAGTATTTAACTTAAATAATGTGCCTCTCAAGCTTTAACAACCTCTTTGAAACTTAATACTGTAACTTATTTTTATTTATAATGCAAAATGGTTAATGTCTTCAATCCCAGAATAAATGGTACTGTTTCTGACTCGGCGACTTTTGGTTGTATGTTAATCTAGTGCGTAAAAAAAACCACCAAAACCAAACCTCATGATGTCTTCCATCATAAATCACTGTAGCTGACTTCTTACACATTCTTTCTTACTTTACCATAACTGTATGTTCCTTTAAAGAAAAAAAGGAAAAAAAATGCTTATTTACTTGCATCTGACAGAGAGAAATACCATATGGAACTACCATCTATTGATGGGTTCCAAATAAATGTGTTTTTCCACACTACTACAGCTTCATATTTTGAAGCATAATGTTAACTACTGTTATAAAAAAAAAAAAAAAAAAAAAAAAAAGCAAACAAAACCCACCACCTAAAATTGAAGCATAACTTAAATATTTTCTTTTATTAAGGTAGATAATGATTGTGGAAGACTTCAGTGAACACATCTGAAAGACTTGTCAGAGAGGGAATATGGCTAGGAACATGTAATTGCTTCCAAATTTTTCACATTTAAGAAGACTCTTTACATGCTTTCAAGGTAACACCCACTCAGTGGCTTATGTGGAAGTGCTCTAGTTTGCAAAGCAACATAATGAGCAGCTAGTGAGTTTGGTTTTTCTCAGCTGCCAAAGGGTTTCACAGAGCTGTAATGACCGCCATGCTACTGTCAAGCTGTCATGGATTAAATGAAGGTTTTAAAATACGTTTGCTGGGTTTGTGGGTAGCTGTTGTTTTGAGTATTCTAGAAATGATAGCTTTTTCCTAAAATAACAAGACATGAAAGGTGAAATGCAGCTAGATCTGTTTGGCTGTGCACAATAATTACAAGTGTGAGACCTAAAGGGGGAACTACCATTTTTCCAAGTGGATCACATCAGCTACCTTGAGTCTGAATTTCCGCCTAAGACAGCTGAGATACCCAAGACCCTTATAAGCTCTTATATAGAAAAGGAGCCCTCTTGACCTCTCCTAGAGTTACTTTGTGGTGGATGAAATCGAAACAGTCATCTAATCAAGATGTTTTTATAGTTGATTACCAATAGCCATTTTTAAGAGCTGCCAAAGTGTAGTCCTTAATGTGATCTTCTTTTGCTGAAGTACAGAGCACTAACAGCTCCAGCTGAAGACAAAGCTGCTGTTCATTGGTTATTAAAAGTGCTGTACTGAGAAGTTTGGAGAATTAGATTTTGCATGCGTCAAATCAGCCAATTTATGGAGATGCTGAGATCAGACATTTAGTGTTCAACTACTATATATGTAGATTTTGATATTTTTCACCTTGAAATGGTGAGTCTTGTTTTCAAGAGCACTAGAATGTATGTCATGTGGAAGCCTCCAGAGAAGTGAGAAATTTGCTGTATTAAGGTCTAAGGCTATGTATCTCTTAATTGATTATTCATGAGATACTGAGAGGAAAAAATAGCATTTGGTTACATAATTGTTGTCTAATGGTTTCTAGTTTTGAATGCTTTGTTTTGCAGTGCTAATAGGGTTAATTCTATATGTGGCTTCTGTATAGTGTGCACAATTTTTTCTTTTTAATACATGGCTCATTCAGCAGTAGTTTATTGCCTGGTTCGCATGGAAAGAGATTAATCTGCAGATCTCAAAACTTGAGCTACTGTTAAATAGCCTTCTATCAGCACTGCTTTGTAGAAAATATTATGTGGAACTGTGTGGAACGCTACAGATCACTTGACAAAAAAGACATGAGTAAATTTTAGAAATGGTGAATTTGTGGAAGGTAGGGACATGAATTTGTGGTCTGCTCATGTAACTTTTGAATTCATTTCCCACTCGGTTGCGTGTAAACTTGAAGTAAAACCAGAACCTGTATACACTATGTAACTGGATGGGATGCCTATCACTTCTGTTTATTGATATTTAGGTCTGGGTGTATAAGCCATTGAGCAATCAATAAATCTTTAATCTCACTTCTTACTAGTATCTAGTCTTTGCATTTCACTAATTGTTCTGATCTAGTTTTGCTGCTACCTTCTGATACTACATTGATTATTTTTTTTTTCTGTACTATTTTAATAGAATGTGGAATGCACATGGAAAGACCTTTGGTGTAGTTCTGTTTTTTACAGGGTGTTAGCAACTTAAGCTGATAATGGCTAGAATATTTCCAATTTCGGGTAGTATAATGCTTGTCTGGCATTGTACGACCATTCTGGCAATGAGGAATGTGCTTTTTAGTATGTTATCCAGGAAGGGGAATGTGTTCTACTGTCAGAATCGGTGACATGTATTTACTTTGTGGGACATTATAGAAAATAGACCAGCAAACCAACTACTGATACAGTGAACTAAATGGCATGTTTCTGAAACATTAAGTTCATTTCAGTTATATGTTTTTTTTCTGTTCTGTGTTCAGTGACAAACAAGAAACCAGCTCAAGCATCTATTACGAAGGTGAAGCAATTTGAAGGCTCTACGTCTTTTGTCAGGAGAACACAGTGGATGCTAGAGCAGCTTCGCCAGGTCAATGGTATAGACCCTAATCGGGTGAGTTTGAACAATTCTGGAAAAAAGGAATTGAGCTCTTTTACTACTGATTTGTGAGTCAGGCATTCTTTCACCATTCAAAATGTATCTGGAAAGATAAGATACAGGTTTAAGTGTAAATTCTCAAAAAATAATTAATGGAATATATGAAATAGATTTTAATGAGAAAGTTGGGAAGAGGCCAAAGCTCACAGTCATATAGGATTTTTTTCTTCCTGTCTTTCCCTACTTTTCTTCCTACTCTCTCTCTCTCTGTGTAAAGAGAAAAATAAGAGCGTTGTTTTCTTGTCGTCAGCTATAAGCCTCTTGGGTCCATTTTGGCATGTAGCTATGTTGTAAGATAGAGCACTAAGTAGAAGTAAGGATAGGAGAGATTACTGAGGTTCAAGTTTGTGAAATATTGTGAACCTTGCGTTTTTTCTAGGACATTCTTCTCCTCTTATCCTTCTGCATTGCTTATGTTTTTCTACAAAGGGTGATGGTGTGGTTTAGTTGCCAATGGCACATGAACGCTCATTTAAACCAAAAGTAAAAGAACCAAACCAACCCCCACTAAATAGTTCCAGAATTACTCCTTTAATGTGGAATACACAGCCTGCCTTGAACTGTCTTGAGACAGTCATACTTATATGCAGTAAGCTTATGAATACATATCTTTAGTAGTAAACCAGCAGAATTAGAAGTTAGAAATGTGGCTTATACTGTGTGATTACAAAGTGACTTACTGTGTTCACTGTACAGAAAAATGTTTGTGACTGACCCACTTGGTTTGTTCAAAGCTGTGCTTTGATCAGCCACTTAAACATCCTAACAGTGGTGCACCAAAATCTGTTACTATGCAGTACAGTCGTTTTTCTACAAAAAAGATGACGTTTGGGCACTGTCCTATGAAATGCAGGGAGTGGAATTTGTATTCCTTGGGTAAAGGGACAGTGAAAATGAGAGCAGTGACAATAGATAAGGGATGTGAGTTTTAGGCCCTTTCCCAGCTTGTGCTGCGCAGCTACGTAAATAACAGATACTTGGGATAATCTCAGATTAAAAATCCTGTCAAGTTCTTAAATTTAGACACGTTCCTTTCAGACTTGTCTTCCTCTGAATTCCTAGTGTCATCGATTTTTTTTTTTTTTTTTTTTTTTTTAAAAAAAGGCAGCATTTACTAGATTAGATTGCAAAATTATATTTAGCAAATATTGCTAAATATATAGCAATACTTCTTGCATAAAATCCACTTATTTTGGTAGTTGATGCATGGTATAGAGTTGGATTTTGATTTGTTCTGGAAGTTCTCTTTTCTTTATGTGATCCTGATACCTATGCAAGACCTTATGATAATACAGTAAATATAGTAGATAGGACTTGTTATTTGTTTTCCCTTTTTGGCTGGACATCAGGAGCAGAGCCACATCTCTATAATAGTGTGAAAGTAGATTCTGTGCTGAAAGTCACAAATCCTTCTGTAATGAAGAATACACAAGTAACTGTATAATTGTAGATACCAAGGATTTCTTATGAGACTCCAATTTATAATTTTTTGGTCTAAAGGATTTTTGTTTTCAGGTATTTTTGTCATAGCTGAATAGTCCTCATTCAAAATATCTGCAAGAAGAAAACTTCCTGCCTTACTTCTGCATCCAGAAACATGCAAAGGAAAAATAATCCCAGGATGGTCTTGAGTTGTGTGACCTTCCAACATAATAACTTCTAAAAAATAATAGCTCTATATTACTCTCCAAATCATTACAAATCTGGAATAATAGTGGTGTGTTGGTTTTCTTATTTCTTCTAGGATTCCCCAGAATTTGATTTACTATTTGAAAATGCTTTTGACCAATGGGTAGCAAGCACAGCTTCGGAAAAATGCACATTCTTTCAGGTTCTACATCACACTTGTCAGCGTTATCTTACAGACAAGAAGCCGGAATTTATCAACTGCCAGTCTAAAATTATGGGAGGTAAGTCAATTGAAGCTGGAGTGCTTTGTGCAGTTGGACATGAAATGATTTTGCACGTGAGTTACTCTGTTCAGATGAGCTCGCCGCCCAATTACATCTTGAAGTCATGGGTCTGAATATCCTAACTTCACAGTTGTAAACTTCTAGGCTTCAGCATTTCTTCATCAAGCACCACTTCACACTCTTCTGCTATCTTTGCTCTCCTACTCTTCAGTTCTAGAGGCAACATCCCCTGTGCACCTTGTCAGAAGTCATTCTCCTCCCTGTTTAGCAACCCTGGTTTTAATTTGTGTGTCTACTTTTGTTTATCCAGAAGCATTTCTGGGTGGCCTGAAATATTTCCTACTAAAAGCCTGTTTTGTGTTGCCATTTCCTTACACATCTGTGAAAAAGTGGTTGTTACTAAACTTCCCATGGTTTTTTTGGTATTTGCTTAGGTCTTGACAGGAATCAGTTAGTTTAAAGTTTTGTTACTTTTTGTAAGTCTCATATCTTAAGGTGAACTTCCAGGATTACACTAAAAAATTTCTGGTTAGATAAAAAACATCTGGTTAATATGTGAAATTGGTATTTACCATTCACTTTCTGAGCAACAAAAACTATTATTTGGGGAGGATTTTCACATATTTCACTAAGTATTCTTTATGAAAATAAAATGGTTTAGTTGTTCCCTTAGAATGAAGTTTCTGAAAACAGTCGTCGTCTTTTTGTCTGCTCCAAACCAGAACACTTTTAAAAACTCTTACACCTCCCATGTTTTCCCAGCTGGAATAAAAAAAATGTTTTTTCTCTTAATGAGTCTCCAAACTGTAGAAAAGTGCAAGCTTCCTTGGGGTTCTGTTTAGTTTTTGTTTCTTCCCCCCCAGTAGACATCAATTATAAGTATGGAGAGCCTTCCTCAGTTCTTTCTGGTAATTCTCCTCTGTCATAAATCTAGAATACGTTACTGTTTGTTCTTATTTCTGTCTGTTATTTGTCTTACATCCGTTTCCTCTAAAACACCAAAGGTAAACTTGAGGAAGGGGGAAACCGTCTCCAGTTTGGTGCTTACATTTTAGCTACTGACACTGAGATTACCACTGACTTTATGGTCATAAGTCAGAACTGTTCTGTCAGTCATCCTTTTCTTTTAGTGTCTTCTCAAATGAAGAAAAAAGGCACAAAATTTCTTTTAAACTATCTTTTTATTTTTTTAATCCCTTCCACATTAATAGGATTTCCTTTTTTTCTTTTTGGTGTGGTGAGGAGGAGGGAGGAGCAGTTTCTGCACTGATGGGAGAAGACATATCATCTACAATTTTTCCACTTTCTATGGAAGAAATCTCATATCAAGCCTTTGTTTGTCATCTGTTTGCTAATGATGCTCACTTCCATCCTTCCTGCTAATGTCAGTATTAATAAACCACCACACATTTCAGCCTCTGAAATTATTTTATTCTCATAAGCTTGACCTGTCCAAACTTGAGTTCCTGATTCAACTGACACAAATATTAACCTTTATCCTAAACAAGTGTCTTCACAGTGGG